TATTAAAAAATGTCAAGCAACAGATTTCCTATTTTTATTAGCATCCTTATGGTACTAGGATTACCCCCAACAAATTTCATGAATTTTGGATTCATAAATAATTTATAAAAATTCATACAAGGATTAACTATTTATAAAAGACAATCTATAACTATAAATCTACACATGCACTGATCCTCAAATTTTTACCAGAGCTCGTACATGACAATAATAGCTTACCACAAAAATTTCATAATTTTTGGAGCACAGAAACTCTAGATATAAAATAAACAAATTTGCATGCATTCAAAAACACATTTCAAATCTCTATTTAAATCTTCCAAAAATTCTACTATAAGTGTCAAGATCATATTTTTCTTAAATAGTTCACTTCCTGAGGAACACTACAAAATTTGTTTTACAATTTTTGAAACTATCAAACTGGAGATATAAAAATCACAAAACAGCAGCAGATCTGGATTTAAATGAACTAGCTTTTAAGTTGGAGTCGCAGACAAGCGGGACCCACAGGTCAGGGGACCCCACATGTCAATGAAACGGAACAGAGCAATGGCGCGGAATCGACGCGGGAACGGCGGAGCTCACCGACGGCGGGGTTGCCGGCAATGACATCATCACTGTATGACCTACGTGACCTAGCGCATCGATTGAGCTACTCGGTGGGACCTCTCGTCGGAGCTAGCGACTACGGCGGTGACCATGGCGGAGCGGTGGTGCGGGACGACGGCGCTACGTCGATGGAGGCCACGACGAAGCAAGCTCGAGCGCTGACGAGCTTCTACGGACTCAGGCGAACCTAGCGCACAAGCACAAGCATTTGCAAAGAAGAGGTGGACGGTGGCCTTCCAAATACGGTGACGAACTTGGCGGCGAGTTCCGGTGAGCTCGTGCGCATTGTCATTAACTTACTGCAAGCGCCGGCGCCGGCCGGTGGAAGCGGCGGAGTTGTCGGGGTGGCGGTGGAGCTGTTGCGGTGGCGGAGGAGCGGCGAGGACGAGCTGTCGTCGGCAATGGCGCCGGCGGCTCTTGGTGCGAGGGCGGCTCACGGCTGACGAGGCGAGGGAGGCCGAGGCAAGGCGAATGGTGTGCTCGGCTGAGTGCGGGCGAGCGTTGGGAAGGTAATGCCGTGCTCAGGCGCGTCGTGCTTCAAGGCGGTCGTAGGCGCTGGCGACGCCACTGCGCCGCCTCCTCCTCCACGCGGTGGCTCGTCTCGCGCGCCGGTCACCACTTGAACCAGAGTTCGATTCGTTCGATTAACGCAATGCCGAGCCTCGACGACAAGTTTTGCCGTCCATTTAACTCGCTAATCCGTGGCTCCAAAGTATAAATGATGCGAATAGGATTTGTAGAACCATGTACCAGCTACAACTCTTATCAAGGAACCATGTTCTAATTCGCAACCGAATTCAAGTTAGATCACCCCCAAGGTCGGCTTGTCAGCACTGTCGGTCGAATATGACTTAGCAAAAATTTGAAGTGTTGAAAACAGTGAAAAACTGATTTTTGAGTCCATTTCAAGCATGTTAGAAGCTAAATCAGTCAATGACCCAAAAATAAAAGTTGTTCCTTATACCAAATATTACAACTTTGCTTTAGTGACCACCTCCATGCAAGGTCTCTAACACCTAGTTCAAATTTGGTCAAACATGTCACATTTAAATGATGATACACTTTAAAGCATGGCTTAATGACCTAATTACCCCTAACCATGAATATCAAAGTTGTTCATAATGGTACTCTAAACATGTTTAGGCTAATTGCAAGGTCATACAATCATTTCATGTATTAGTCACTCATAGAGCTATTTAGTGTAATCACATGAAACATGACTTAAGGGCTTGATCATGGAAAGTGACATTCATGAACTATGTTCCATTTGCTAACCTAAGTGTTGCTAACATGTTTTTGTGACTCATATCAACCAATCACATGTATACACTCATAATCATATGCATATTCATATGAAAGCATGGAATACTAAGAAATGTTGCACATGTTTCAATTGAATGTAAATGCATATATATGAATGCTTGATGATCATGCTCATGCTATGCAAGTCAAGTTATGCAAGGCTAACACCTAAGGTGTTACACGTCGTTCTGCACAACGGCGAGGTAGTTCCTCTGGGTTTCCCTCTTCCCCTTTTCCCCTTCTGTATTTCTCCTTTTCTACTCGGATCCGATCCGATTTGGGGACGGGGATTGGAATTAGGGTTAGGGTTAGGGCCGATTCGATTCACTGTTCTTCTTCCCCATGAGTTTTCATGGATTTAGGGTTCGGCTTTGCTTCTCTTCTAGGCTGAAACCCTCTTCTTCTTCATTCCTTAACCCAGTTAGGGTTAGAGTTCAGAAAACCTTCTTTCTTTGTCTAGATCCAAACGGATCTAAACCATTCTTATCTTTTCTGTTCTTTTGATTCTCTTCCCGCGCGTCAGCAAGCCGGCGGCGGGTGCTCCATCCCGCGTGAGGCGGTAGTGACAGCGGCGGGGAAGCCCTGGTAAGACTTCCCCCCTAGACCGTCCAATTTCTTTAGGGTTAGGGTTCTTTAGGGTAATCCGAATCGAATTCGAATCCCCCCTTTTTTCTTTTGTTTCTATCACCCGATTAGGGTTTAGGGTTCGATGAACCCTCTGTATTTCTTTTCTTTCGATCCGAACCGGATCTAACTCATCTCCTTCTACACTGCTACCCCTAACACAATCCACACACTAGATCGACGACTCTGATACCATTGTTAAAACATTTAGATCATCTAGTAGTGGATCTAGGAGGGATACACATGGATTCGGAATAACACATGCACATGTAAACCTAGAACACTATACCGAAAAGGGAGACAGAGGGGGTGTGAGGAGAGTGAGGAGTTCACAGACCAGTGGATCCCGTGGAGTTGGAGCTCGATCCGGCCATCGCTGGTTCGTTGATGGAGGCAGCACACGGGCAGCGACGGTCGGTGAAGAGAGGCGACGCAGTGGAGACGGTGATGCAGTGCAGTGCCGTGGCGGCAGCGGTGCTTCCCGTCACTGGCTGTGCCTCTCTGTTAGATCGGAGTAGGGTTTCTATGTGGGGCGTACGGCTCAGGCGAACCTCGTATCGAGAGCCGCCGAGCCCACCTCTATTTAATGTGTAGTGTGACGGGAGCCCGCCAGCCATAGATGGACTGGGCGCCCCCGATCAGGACGCGAGGTCAAGGCCCAAGTGGCAGTTGGGCCACTGTGGTTGGGAGATCAAACCAACATAGATCCCAATGATTGTAGATTTCCTATTGCACTTGTCGTTGTGAGGTGGAGTCAAAGGCCATTTGGAAGTTGTTCCTAGAAACTCTAAGGCGAGACTTGGGCATTCATAATACTTAACCATGAAGCATTATGACTCACAAACAGAAGATAAAGTTCAAGCACAGCACCACAATTTTGTTTTATCAAGCACAATGTGTTTTTTGAGCTGGGATCCACGTGCAACGTACGCAAGCAAATCGAGTTGGGGCTCATTTGGACTCGTGGTTGCGCCCGGGATAAGTTAATTTACTCGAAGTTGTATTTTGAAACGACACGACTAGCGCCCGGATGTTCGGCGCAAGCACGCGTCCGGACGCACCTCGAGGCCATCTGATTGAGATAACAGGAAGAGTCGTCCAATCTCATCGAATAAAAGAATGTAAATAAGCGCACCTATCCGATACAACAGAACGAGCGCGCCCCTGCGCCTACTTGCGGCGGCCCGTCCCCCGCCGCGTCGCCGTGCCACGTCGTGTCGCCATCCCCCGCCGCGCCCCCGTGCCACGTCGCATCACCATCCTCCGTCGCGCCGCCATCCCCTGCGTGCTCTGTTGCCCTCCACGCCCCATCCCCACCGCGCTCCATCACCCGAACGTCCAATGAGAAATTTTCCATTCGAAGATCTGTTGCAACACGGAGCAATGCGAGATGCAACATCAGAAGTATTACTTGTTGCAACATCAGAACAAGGCTAGTGCAACATCAGAACAAAAAAAGGACAACATCAGAACAAGGCTACTAATCAGAACAAAACTATTGCAATGCGAGATGCAACATCAGAAAGAAAAAAAGACTAATGCAACAAATAAATATTACTTGTTGCAACATCAAAACAAGGTTACTGCAATGTGAGATGCAACATCAGAAAAAAGAGACTAATGCAACAAAAAAATATTACTTATTGCAACATCAGAACAAGGCTACATTCAGTAGCAACATGAAAAGCGTTGCCTTCGTAAAAAGTCAGTTGGCGAGAAACAAGGGGGCCGGTGGATGAGTGGCCACGCGCGCAGCCCGGCTCGGTGACAAGCGCCAGGCCTAGGCGGCCGGAGGCGCAGGGCAGCAGCCCGTGTGGTCGCCATGGTGGGGGTGCGGGGGCGGCGGGCGGCGGAGGTAGGCGGGGGCGCGCGAGGCGGCGACCGGCGGGGTGCCTCTCAGACAGCTCGGCCTCGGCGCTCAGGGCGGCAGCAGAATCTCGTGGCCTCGGCGGTCATGGCATGAGCGGATAAGAGAGTGGGGGCTCACGGATGGGATAGGGGGTGTTCACGGGATGCAATAAGGGAGCGGGGGGTGTCACGCATCGGGGCCACGTCTGGACGCGAGTTGCGGCCGAACGTCCCATAGAATCATTATTGATTTTGAAAATACGGGTACCTAAGCCACCTGGGCCGTGAATTTTTCTCCCCTTGAAAACAAACTCTGACTCATGGACATCTTTCTCGTAGCGGTCTGGTGCCGTATCTCGTCATCCGAGTGCCAAAACTGCCAAGCGACCAAGCCCTCGAAAACATTAGAATAGATAGAAGCACGCTGCGTCTGATTCCATTAGTACTTCAACGAAAAAAATACAGTCCGATCCAAATCCCTGATCCGAGTACCCGATCGACCTTCCGAATTCCCGATCCAACCGGCATTCGTTCCCACAAGTCAATTCAGCTGATATCCCAAGGGAGGATCCTCAATTGCTTCGCTGCTTCCCAGTGCGCGTCGCGCGGATCAAGTGATGGATCGCCGGGACCAGGGCGAGGCTGCGGCAGAGGATAAGACGTGCCCGCTGGCGATTCTCCCCGACGACGTGCTAGCGGACGTGCTCCGCCGCCTCCCGCCGCGTGGACTCGCCGTGTCCAGGTGCGTCTGCAAGGCGTGGCTCGCCGTCGTCGACGCCCGTCGCCTGCTGCGGGCGGATCTCCTCCCCTTGTCGCTGGGTGGGATCTTCATAAACTTCCACAACTACTACCTCTCGGAGTTCTTTGCGCCCCACTCGGACGGCCCCTGCATCTCCGGTAAGCACGACTACCTGCCTCAGGCCGATTCCTGGGGCTACGTAGACGACCACTGCAATGGTCTTGTGCTGATCCACGAGAACGACGACAACGACGGTGAGATTGGCTACGTGCTTAATCCGGCCACTCGATGGGTGGCTCCAGTGCCCCCGTGCCCACCCCCGCCCATGGAGATCAAGGACACCTTCCAAGTCGAGTACCTCGCGTACGATCCGATCGAATCGCCATACTTCGAGGTGGTTTCAATTACCCGTTTTCATTGGGTGAGAAAGCCTGGAGATTATCTCTACGACGGTTCTAGGGATGCAGAGATAGAACCTATGTTAGACGGATACATCCAGGAAGCCGCGTATCGCGTATCAGATACGTATCGGATACGGATACGTGTCCGATACGCCCAGGATACGTATCCTCGGAGTATCCGAAATTTTTTTTTATTTTCGTGAATTATGGATACGCGGGCTGATATGTATCAGCCTTGTGGATACGTCCCAGCCCAGTAAACAACCCTTCCTTTGCCCTCGACGCCCTAGAGAAGAACAAATCGACAGGGAGAGCAGAAAAAGGAAGAGGAAGTGAGGAACAAATCGACAGGGTCGCGGATGCCGCACGCTCCGCTGCCCGCATCCGCGACATCCCCGTTCGGCGCCCTCGGCTCCGAGCTCCGAGCTCTCCGATTCGCCTCACAGGTACCGCCGCGCCGCTCTCGGCTCCGAGCTGCTTATCGCACTGCCGCCGATTCGCCTGGCCCAGCGAGCCGCTGCCGTCGGCCTCGACTGCCGATTCGCCGGAAGCCGCGCGCCGCTACCTCCACTCGCCTGGCACTGCGCGCCGCCGCCGCCGCCGCCTGAAGCTGCTCGCGCCGCGCTCCGAGGCTGGCCTAGGGTTAGGACCTGAGAGCGGATTGGGGATTTGGGGCTGGCTGAAGTCACGAGTGGTGGCGTGGTGCCGCTGGGGGCTGACTGACGCCGTGTTTAGGTCCAGGAAGTTGGAATGTTGGGTTACTGTAGCACTTTCGTTTTTATTTAGCAATTAGTATTCAAACATGGACTAATTATGCTCAAAACGTTCGTCTCGCAATTTCCCACCAAACTGTGCAATTAGTTTTTTTTCGTCTATATTTAATGCTCCATGCACGGGCCGCAAACATTCAATGTGATGGGTACTGTAGCACTTTTTGGGATTTTGGGTTGGAACTAAACATGGGCTGAAGTGAAGTCTGCTCTTTACGTGGACTTTGGTGGGCCGTCGCTGGGCTGGACCTGAGCGGATGCTGCTGTTTCTGTGGTCCACATTATTCTTATTTTTATTTTATTTTTTAAATAGTAAACGTATCCACGTATCGGGTTTTTTGAGAAATTGCCATATCCGCGTATCCGTATTCTTTCGATACCGATACACGTATCTGCATCCGTGCAACTTAGGATAGAACAATCTGAGTGGCCACCGTCGTTATGCATCTTACATGTGTTCTCATCTAGAACCGGACAGTGGGAGGAAAGGTCTTTTTCTCGAGAAGGTGATTCCATCGGAACCGTGTCTGGCATGAGACACTGGCCAGGAGACCAACGCAATGCTGTGTACTGGCGAGGAGCATTATATGTGCATTGTCAAACTAATTATGTTACGAGGTACATACTAACTCGTTACGCATTGTCATTTTATTCGGTTTTAATTTTTTTATATCAAGTTGTTTAATTTTCGCATCCTTTGGTTTTTATCTTTCTTAACAACGATCAATTTCATATTACAGAATATCTTTGTCGAGTGATAAGTATCATGTGATTAAACCACCACCAGGTGTTGAAGGAAAAAACTATCCACAATTTTATCTAGGGAAGTCATCTAAGGGGGTTTGTTGTGTGTCAATCCAGGGAAGATGCAGAGTTCAAGTTTGGAACCTTGATGAATCAGGCTATCAGATGGAGTGGGTTCTGAAGCATGACAGGGACCTTTTTAAGTGGTTGTTGAAGCATAAGCTTCAGTATACAGGACCTTGGGCCTTGCAGGATATTAATTACTATTACAATAATCGCAATAGAGATCACGATATGGAAGCACCAGCAGAAGAGAAAATTGAATGGACCTCACAAGCATCTGAATATGAGAAATTTACATGGAGCTCTGATGATGAATGTGGACACACTGGGTACGTGGATATTCTTGGGTTTCATCCCCGCAAAGAGATTATCTTCTTGAGTGAATCAATAACGCGAGGATTGGCCTATCACTTGAATAGCTCCAAGGTTGAAGTCTTGGGCAATATATATCCAGCAGGATATGACAAAGAATTATCAAATGAACGGCTTTTAGAATCATCTTTTCTGTATACACCCTGCTGGATTACACAAACTGCAGACGATGGAGAATAGTTGAAAAGGAAATCTCCAGTACATGTTGTAACGCATGCATGGGACAATAGGGTGTAATGCAATAGTGTTCACGATGGAGAATAGTTCAGTTTTCGTTCTATATTTTTTAGATTTTAAATATGGATCGCTTTGGGACATTAGGTTGTAATGCAACAGAGTCCAGTTTCTGTTCTTTATTTTTTAAATTTCACAAATATGGATCGCTTTGGGACAATATAGGTTGTGATCTTTGGGTCTGCCTTCACTTTTATTTGTGGCGACGATGATTAAATTATCAGTAGCTTGTTTGTCGTATCAGCCACAGTAATCTTTTTTGTCAGTTTGATTGAATAAAGCTATTGGGTACCTTTCAAATTCCAATTCAATGCTTCCCCGTTGTGTTTCTTTGAAAAAGATTGACATGTCGGACAAGGACAAATATCCACAACGACCTCCCCTGAACTGAACTTCATGCACGTTCCTTCGTCTTCACTCTATGGTGGTACTACTAGTAGTAGTATATTTTTTTAGTTGATTCTTGATCGTTGCTTCCTTGTTTTTTGTTGATTCTTGGTAGTTGCTTCCTTGCTAGGGAATGTTGGGAGGATTGTTGTTCGACTCTGAGGGTAATGCTTGATTATTGGGCTTGATTCACCTCACCATGCCCGATAACATTGATCAACGGTAGCAAGTTTTTGGTATGTGTTAATTCTTGACAGTGTCGGGCGACTTAGCTTTCATCCCCAAGTGTCTGCCTCCCTGTGCTGCCATTGAGAAATCGCACCACTACCCGTTCTCACCATGAGACCGCCTAGATCCGAGAGAGACATGAGAAAGCAAGGCTGTGAGGACCATGGTGGCAAGCTCCTTGGCTTGATCATTATGTGCTCCGTGGCATGCGACCGAGATCAGCCCATACCGGCGCCGAGGATAGAGGAGTGGCGTACGAGGAAAATGGCAGCTGTGTGCTTCATCGTCGCTGAGGAAGCCGTCCCAGCGTCAGAGTAAAGAGAGACAGAGAGTGAGAGACTAAGGTTTGGGTGAAAACGATCGAAATTATAAAAAATTCCTTCAACCAATATTTAGATTTGGAGATGGTATGCGCAGTGGCTAGCTTTATCTGATTGTATCTTTAGAATTTATCTTTTGCAAATAATTTTACTTATTTGCTTCATTGTATTGGTTCACCCATATTGCATTTATCATCACGAATTTCATATAACTATCGATGGGCCTTTTTAGGCTTAAAACTGTCGTTGTCTCTATCACCTTTTGTTTTTCTCCCACTACTACCATGTGGTTGTGCAATTTCTATTGATGTACATTGATGTAAAATCAAGATAGTCTTTAGTTTTAGTTTAATCCTCAAGAAAACTATGGTCTTAAGTCTCTCACAAATTGTTTAGTTTCTTGTCATTTTCTAAATTTAATTGTTGGATCACCTTGAATTCTCCGGTCAAACTATTAACTTTTCATATTTATCATTAAAAATTTTGCCTTTAGCAATTGTGTTTTTATATGGAATGCATCGAGTTGTTTTTTCCAGTTTTTATGGAAATCAAATTATTGTTTTTATTAATTTACTTAGTATTTCAAATTTATCGGGTACCACTTATATTAAACATGGTGTCTTTGTTTACTTTACATTGTTAGATCATCATAAAAATTAATGATCTGTGTTCTTTTTTATTTTTTTCTGATTAATCTCATAATTATATTAGGCATTGATTCTTCAATTTAATCTATCCATCAAATTAAAATAAAATCTAACTAATAGGGTTTTTCCTCGATTAATCTCGTAACTATATTAGAACAGGAGTGGACCTACCAATAGGACGTCCGTGGTCTGCCTACATACCTACCCGTCTGCTAGTGAGAATGAGGTGGTAGAGTATCATATCAATTAATTTTATTCCGCGAATCAAACAAAAGGTGATGAGTGTGAAGATGATAGGCCACCCCATTTTTCAATCAAACACGACCTGAAGAGATCCACTTATTGGTAAATCGTAAGCTGCCTAGCATCTATTTTTCAGTCAAACACGACCTGAGGAGACAGGGCTTGGAGAGAGGGAGAGAGCCAGATATTGACATCAGCAACTGTGCTGGCAAAGACCTGACAAACATCCAAGGAGCGATCATCAAACGTCTTGAAACCCAGCTTTCCAATTGTTCCAGAGGATGGTAGAGAGTAGAGACGATATATAAGTCGACTTGAACTTCTAGTTCTAGGCCAGTCTTCAGAACTGGTTTAAACCTGATCATTCCTCGGGTCTCCCTTCTTCCAGTATAGAGTTTCTCTGTCTTCAGGCTGTGACAACACAATAGTTCCTCTCCTCCCATTCCCTCCTCAAGAACTTGGACGGGAGTGTTCAGCTGGCTGTAAAGCCGCTGGTGTTGATTTTTATGGTTGATTTTTTGAGAGAGAAAAATACTGTACCATGGCTTATAAGCCAGCGAATAAGCTGGCTGATAAGACCAGCCGAACACTCCCGACCTCCCATGTCTTGATCAGGAAACACAACCTGACTGGGTCAGTTTTGTTCAGGCTCTCCCTGACCTTCCTCTGAAAATTTCTTTTCTCTGGCTCCTTCTTGTTGCAGCTTTCCTTGATCCAGATTCATCCATGGATCAGTAAAGTAAACAAAGACACCATGGCTCCTTCTTGTTGCATCAAATTCACTCTCTTGATTCTTGTTCCTCTTCATCAGTAGCCTCTCCATCTTCTTCCTGAATTCCCATGTTTTGATTTTCCATTTCATTGCTCGGTTTGTCTCCTGCTAGAGAGACCAAGAGATCTGGCATTTCCAAAATTCAGAGACATCTAGGTGCCTCAGCACTCACCGTGGGATGGTTACAGCAAGTCCAATCAAATTCATTCAAAAGCACAGTCGAAAATGATTCATCAATTGAAATAATGCAATTTACATCACGGTGCTCACAACAAGTTTACTAAGTGACAGACTCACGATGCACATCTCATCTGGAATGAGATGATCTATCAAACCAAACACTTCCTAGCTGCAACTTTCAAACTGCTACATTGCCATGAAAACGTTAATCGGAGCTATAGTTCTTTGCTTATCATAGAAATGGTGCACAGTCTCATGCCCGTTCGTTAAAAAAAACACGTGGGAAGGAGAAGGACTGGGACGAAGGAGGGAGAGAGTTTTTGTGGGCCGGAAACGGCCTATTGGCAGCGCCGCACCTCCACGCTGCTGGCTCTTTCCTCCGCACCTGCGCCGCCTCTCCCCTGGCCACGGTCGACGTCTGCTCCCTCGTCGTCGCGCCCAGCGCGGTCTCGCCCACCCGCGCCAGGGCAAAGGGCCCCACAATCCCGATCCGAATTTCCGAACAATCCCCGTATCATTCCACACAACAAACAGTCGATTCTCACTCCCTCAAAAAAAAGTCAGATTCAGAGATCTGACGAGGGGACAGGAGCTCAATTGCTTTTGCTTCCCAGTGCGGCGTCGCAGATCAAGATCCCAATTCCCAAGCGAGCAATGGATCGCCGGGAACAGTGCCGCAGAGAATAAGGCGGCGCGCTGGCGCTGCTGCCGGACGACGTGCTAGCGGACGTGCTTCGCCGCCTCCCGCCGCGGGGCCTCGCCTCGTCCAGGTGCGTCTGCAAGTCTTGGCTCGCCATCGTCGACGCCCGCCGCCTGCTGCGGGCGGATCTCCTCCCCTTGTCGCTGGGTGGGTTCTCCATGAACTTCCGCGGGTACTACATCTCGGAGTTCTTCAGACCGCTCTCAGACGGCCCCTCCATCTCCGGCAAGCACGATTACCTGCCTGAGGCCGGATGCCTTTCCTGGGGTCTACATAGACGACCACTGCAATGGTCTTGTGCTGGTCCACGACTACCCTGACAACTACCCCGACAACGGCGACGAGTGTCGCTACGTGCTTAATCCGGCCACTCGATGGTTGGCTCCCTTGCCCCCGTGCCCAACCCCGCCCATGGAGATCAAGGAAACCTTCCAAGTCGAGTACCTCGCTTACGATCCGATCGAATCGCCATACTTCAAGGTGGTCTCAGTTACCCGTTTTGGTTGGACGCCCGAGCCTGGAGATTTTCTCTACGGCAGTTCTAGTGTTCCACTAGACCCTGAGATAGAACAATCTGAGTGGCCACCATCTGTATGCATCTTACATGTGTTCTCATCGAGAACTAGACAGTGGGAGGAAAGGTCTTTTGTTCGAGAAGGTGATTCCATGGGGATCGTGTCTGAAATGAGACGGGACTGGCCAACCGAACAACGCAATGCTGTGTACTGGCGAGGAGCGTTGTATGTGCATTGTCAAACTGATTATGTTATGAGGTACATACTAACTCGTTAAGCATCATCATTTTATTCGGTTTTAATATTTTAAACAGGTTGTTTTCTTGTCCTTTGGTTTTCATCTTTCTTTCTAACAACGATTTCATATTACAGAATATCTTTGTCGAGTGATAAGTATCACGTGATTAAACCACCACCAGGTATTGAAGTAAAACACTATCCACAGTTTTATCTAGGGAAGTCATCTAATGGGGTTTATTGTGCGTCAATCAAGGGAGGCTGCAGAGTTCAAGTTTGGAACCTTGATGAATCAAGCTGTCAAATGGAGTGGGTACTGAAGCATGACAGGGACCTTTCTAAGTGGTTGTTGAAGAATAAGCTTAGTATCGACCACGTGCAGATTATGGTCGAAAAATCCAAGGACCTTGGGCCTTGCAGGATATTAATTACTATTACGATAATCGCAATAGAGATCATGATATGGAAGCACCAACAGAAGAGAAAATTGAATGGGCCTCACAAGCAGCTGAAGACGAGGAATTTACATGGAGCTCTGATGATGAATGTGGATCCGACGGTGGGTTGGAGATTCTTGGGTTTCATCCATGCAAAGAGATTATCTTCTTGAGTGAATCAATAACGCGAGGATTGGCCCATCACTTGAATAGCTCCAAGGTTGAAGTCTTGGGCAATATTTATCCAGCAGGATATGAGAATCAATTACTAAATGAACAGTTCTTGGAATCATCTTTTCCGTACACACCCTGCTGGCTTACACAAACTGCAGACGATGGAGAATAGGTGAAAAGGAAATCTCCAGTACATGTTGTAATGCACGCAGCTTGCAACAGAGTTCAGTTTCTGTTCTTTATTTTTTAAAGTTAAATATGGATCGCTTTGGGACAATAGGTTGTAATGGAACAGAGCTCCAGTTTCTGTTCTTTATTTTTTAGATAGAGTTCAAATGTGGAGCGCTTTGGGACAATATAGGTTGTAATCTTTGGGTCTGCCTTTACTTTTATTTGTTGCGACGCTGATTAAATTATCATTAGCTGGTTTGTCGCATCAGCCACAGTAATCTGTATTTTTTCCCCTATTTGATTGAATAAAGCCACTGGGTATATAAATTTCAAACCAAAATCTCTTCCAAAGTTTTAGTTAGCTCCACTCCTTCCCTCCTCAAGAATCTCCTCAAATAGATGTATAGCCACATGATCCTGTTCCAATGTCCCAGTTCCTGTTAATGCATCAAACTGGTCCAACCTTCCCGTGTCTTGATCAGGAAACACAATGACTGAGTTCGTTCAGGCTCCCCCTGACCTTCCTCTGAAAATTTCTTGTCTCTAGTTCTTCCTGCGGTCTTGGATGATCCAGACTCTTTTTGGTTGGCTCCTTCTTGTTGCAACTTTCCTTGATCCAGATTCATCCATGCATCACTCTCTTGTGATTCTTGTTCCTCTTCATCAGTAGCCTGTCCATCTTCTTCCTGAATTCCCATGTTTTGATTTTTCACTTCATTGCTCGGTTTATCTTCTGCTACAGACCAAGAGCTCTGGCATTACCAAAAATTCAGAGACATCTAGGTGCCTCAACACTGACCATGGGATGGTTACAGCAAGACCAATCAAATTCATTCAAAAGCACAGCCAAAAATGACTCATCAATTGAAATAAAACAATTTACATTATCACGGTGCTCACAACATTACAGGACTTTAAGCTCTGTTCATAACAACAGACTAATTTCACATGATAGTATGATACAACGATCAAAGGATCGGAAATCTAAGTCACACGCACACAGCATGCAGCCTCTGTCGTCTCTGTCTCTTGAGCAACGTCGACGGAAGTTTCTGTTCCTTTGGTAGCTCCAGACCGTCGACCTTGGCGAACCATGCGGGCGAGGAGGTGATGCGGGTGCACGACATGGAGTTTGCAAGCCGGCACCTGAGTGCCATGGCCGAGCACCCCATATAACATGATGTTTTGTGTACCTTGGCGTGCTACCAAGCATATTCACCTTCAATTCCTTCCATCCAATATATGACATGACATTTGTGTACCCCATCACAAAGACAGTGACATTACTGTCCTTCAACAAATTCCCCATTTAGGTTCTATGGTTGATTGAAATTAGTGCCACTAAAACATGACAAGTATAGTGGAAAATAGAAGTGACAGAAGATAAAGCATATTGATGGACAGAAAATTACAGTACATATTACCCATTCCATTTCAGATTATGAATTATGAAGCAAGGGTACAGCCCAATAGTACTGCAACCTACGTGTTTCTATGACAGGCATCATCAATTTAAGAAATAAACTTTACAAAACACTTAGATGACCCATTTGACAATGAACTCCATGCACAAAGGAATTTTAAAGTTCAATATCCAGGGTCAAACGTAGCATCCTTGCATCTAGCGCATACAAACCTAATTAAGGATCTGCCTAAATGATTATATCATTACCAAATAATAAATAGCATAGAATGTAAATACAGATCATAGGTGACTACCGGTGTGGGTGTGCAGGCTGTGTTTAGAAGATGGATAACAAAAACATGGGTGTCCCACAGTCAAAATCATAGACCATTTCTAAGGTGATCTGGGGAAAAAAAATCCATGTTCAGCAACCAACATTTCCCTCAAAAAGAAAGTATCCCAAGAGAACGTATATTTTTCATGATTGTCCTTTCAGAGGCGATGATTTCACCATACATGTAAAACTCCTCAAAGAATTGCTTCTCTTTGCTTACCATCCTACTGGCTAAGCTCAGAATGTCGGAGCATGTGGAAAATCAACTTTTCCCACACATAATGCCTTTCCTGTAAGCATATCAAGGTAAAAAATAAGAAAATGACTTACTTAGCATGAATAAACGGACCTCATCAAAAAAAAATATAGATATCTTCTATACAGTTCCAACAACAAAAATGAAATTATGCCTCCAAGCATGAATATTTACCTTCAGTTAGAAAGGTAAACCTACCAAGACGAGGAAAATTAAAGAATTTCTATATGATATGCAGATCAAGTTATTACCTAATTATGAAAACATATTAGAATCAGCAGGACCTGAAATTAACGGTCATAACAGGAATGTTGTTCAGATGCTCTATGAGAATACCTGAATGCGACAAACAATTCATCCATTAAAAAAGAGGCTTCCTCTTTGGCTTTTTCTTTTTGTGGATCTGCTCCTTTTTCCTTTGTGTCAATTTCCTCTAAGCTCAACAATGTCACCCTCCTCATCAACACAGCGAATCAGAGCCAGAAGTGACAATAGGCTAATAAATTCACAAATCATCATGTGAAGTAGTGTTCTGACCAATATCATCGATAGAAATAAATACCCTCTTCCGGGCTTTCACAGTGACAGACAAATATATTACATTCTGCTTCAAAATTTGAACAATTATAAATGGCTAAAAATCACAGTAGTCAGAGGACTATACAACAAAAACAGGCCAAAATTACAGTTAGTACCTACCAGAATTTCTAGTTTCATCAGTTACCAGTCAACAAATGATGTACTTCCTAACCAATTGTAGCTAGTTAAGAAACTCAAGTTCACATCTTTTGTGTACCGCTTGGGTTCGGCGACAGCCAGAGGCCTACAGTCGCCATCCCACCCAACTGCAACAAACCGTCACCTGGTAGTTAGATGTATCAAAAACTCAGCGTGCAGGGAGGAAGTGCTCTGTATCGTCGTGCCGACAGCCAGCGGCTTTCAGTTGTATCGGCCATTAAGAGTTGGTGCTCTCGTAATCTGTGTGTGCTCTTGCCGCTGTGGGCTTACCTTGATGCCTATTGCCTATACTGAACCAACAAATGGCTTCCGACTTGCCTACTCCCGAAGAATTATTGTATGTAGGGTACCATTAGTTGACATATGGCACAGCTGAATTGCCAGGTACTTAATTGGAACGTCAGGGGGCTAAATGATGGCGCCCGACAGGACTTGGTTAGTGAGCTCGTGAGAACCACCGGCGCCACCATTGTATGTTTACAAGAAACAAAGATGCAAGCTATGGAACGTAATGTGGTTCGCCGTACAGTCGGAGCGAAATTTGAAAACTCCTATAGTGTGCTCCCAGCGGAACAAACACGTGGAGGCATCTTCCTGGCGGTCAACGAAGACTTCTTCGACCTTTCCGACATTGCACTTACTGCGAACACTATAACCGCGCAAATCAAGATGAGGGCGGATGGAAAACGTGGCAAATTACGGTGGTATATGGGCCGCAAGGGAGGACGCCAAACTTCAATTCCTCCAAGAATCGAAAAACATTCCGCCACGGAGAATGATAGATGGCTCATCCTCGGAGATTTCAACCTCATCTACCAGGCGGAAGATAAAAACAACGCCAATCTAAACCGACGTCTCATGGGGGCATTTAGAGCGACGATCGATCATTTGGGACTCAAAGAAATCAAGCTAAATGGCCGCAGATTTACCTGGAGCAATCAACAGCAAAACCCCACGCTCACTAGAATCGACAGACTACTATGTACCCCCCAGTGGGAGCTGTCCTTCCCATCATGTTTCTTGCACTCCCTACCTTCGCTCATGTCGGACCATACACCGCTGCTACTCCAGGGACAACTTGACCACAATCACACCGCTTCCTTCCGCTTTGAAAATTACTGGACTAAGATGGACGGCTTCCAAGATCTTGTTCATGACATTTGGAATAGACCGGTCGCCACCGCTCTCCCGATCAAACGCTTACACATCAAAATGGCGCGTGTGGCAAAAAGGCATCAAGCGTTGGAAGAAAGAGAAGATAGGGGATACAAGGATGCAGCTTCGCCATAGTGAAAGAAGTGCTACTACAATTAGAAGCAGCCAAGAGCATAGGTTGCTCAACGCCATAGAACTTCACCTATGTCGCCGCCTCAAAGCCCGCAACCTTTGGACTCATGACCATCGAAAAATCAAGAATCGACACAGAGAGCAAGACTAACGTACATTCGATGTGGGGATGCTAACACAAAGTTCTTCCACACTCGAGCAAATGCACGCCGGAGAAAGAATTACATACATTGTCTACATACGAGATGGGGGTCATGGTGGATCATCAAGAGAAAGAAAAGGTCATTCGAGAGTATTTTAAAAATCACATTGGCGCCGCGACGCAGCGAGTTTCCACACTAAATTGGCAATCCCTTGGATACAACCAACACGATCTCTCCGATCTAGAGTTGCCTTTCTCCCAGGAAGAGATAAAATACAATATTTTTTCCATGCCTTCCGACAAAGCACCAGGACCAGATGGTTTCACGGGGGCCTTTTTCAAGGCGTGTTGGGAAATCATTAAGGATTTATATAATGGCGGCAATTTGAATAGCCTATTATTCAACTTGAACGCCCAGGGTTTCGAATGGCTAAATTCGGCTTCCATCATCCTACTACCCAAAAAGGCAGATGCAACAAGAGTTACTGATTTTAGACCCATCAGCCTCGTCCACAGCATTGCGAAGATCTTCTCTAAGGTATTAGCAAACAGACTTGCCCCCCGACTCAACCAACTTGTCTCCAATTGCCAGAGCGCTTTCATAAAAAAGAGAAGCATCCATGATAACTTCCTATACGTCCAGGGCGCGGTTCAAAGGTTGCACAAGCAAAAGATACCGGCCTTATTCATGAAACTAGACATCCACAAGGCTTTTGATACGGTTCATTGGGGGTACCTGCTTGAGATTCTGCAAGCCCTAGGCTTCGGACAACGATGGCGAGAATGGATCTCTATCCTCCTGCGTACATCCACTTCCACACCATTGATTAATGGGCGACAGGGGACCCCTTTTAGCCATGCAAGAGGTGTCCGTCAAGGAGACCCGCTATCACCCATGTTGTTCATCCTTGCTATGGACCCGCTTCAACGGTACGCTTGACCGAAAATCAACAAGGGTACTCACCCCCCTCCAATAGCGGCGGCAAAATGGAGAACCTCAATGTATGCGGATGATGCCGCAATTTTCATCACCCCACAAATGACGATGTTCAATCCACAAAGCCATCCTAAACGCTTTTGGTTCATTCTCTGGCTACATATCAATCTACAAAAGAGCTCGGTACACCCAATCAAATTTGTGGCAGACGCGTCAATCTAGACCAAGCCCTCTCACCCTTCGACGGTCACAGAGGGACCTTCCCTTGCAAGTACTTGGGCCTGCAGCTACACATCAGAGCATTGCAAAAAATACACGTGCAACCTCTCATAGACCGTATTGGGCAGAGGTTACCCAAATGGAAAGGAAGATGGCTTAACAGAGCGGGACGTCTCACTCTTGTAACATCTGTCCTCTCCTCCATGCCAACCTACCACCTCACAGTGTTTCCTCTAGCTGCATGGGCTAAGAAAAAGATTGACAAAATCAGAAGATCGTTCCTATGGAAGGGGGAGGAGAACGCCAATGGTGGACACTGCCTTGTTAACTGGCCAACTGTTACCAGGCCAAAAGTTCTGGGTGGGTTAGGCGTCATCGACCTTGATAGATTTGGGAGAGCCCTCCGGTTACGATGGCTTTGGCAGGAATGGATGGACGACCACAAGCCTTGGAACGGCTACGAGCTTCCATGCTCTGATGTTGACCGTCTCCTCTTCAACTCCTCAATCATTATAACTTTGGGGGATGGTGCAAAGACTAGTTTTTGGCACCAAAACTGGCTCGATGGACACGCGCCTAGGTACTTAGCACCAAACTTGTTTTGCCTAATTTCAAGGAAAAACCGAACGGTGAAACAAGAGCTCCGGAACAACAATTGGATACGCAAGCTACAGACGAAAATCACCTCCGCTGTCCACATGGAGGAGTTCGTGTCCCTTTGGATACGAATACAAGAAGTGCACTTGCAGCAAGGCGCCCAGGACACCATCACCTGGCGGTGGACCGGTGACGGGAAATACTCCACCCGCTCGGCCTACAGGGATCTGATTCGAGGCTCGCTCGCCTCATTCAAGACTGAGTTGATCTGAGTGCGCATGTGGAGAACAAATGCAAGATTTTTGCACGGATCTTAGTGCAAGATAAAATTCTAACGGCACAAAACCTACAGAGAGAGAGGGTGGCCACACCATCAACAATGTGTGCTCTCTGAATGGCCCTTTAGAGACCGGCCTCCACCTATGCCTATGTTGCCCCTTCATGAAGGGGTTTGGAATCATATCCTATCGTGGGAGAACTTCCCTCGATCCAAAGACAACCCCAGGTGCAACCCACCGATATCAGATCATGGTGGGAAGAGGTGACGGCGAAAGTGCCAAGATCAGAACGTAGGAGGCTCAACGGGACAATAATCTACACCTTCTGGAACGTTTGGAAAGAAAGAAATAGGAGAATCTTCGACAACGAGATGCATACAGTGCTGCAGGTGGCCTCAAAGATAAAGGAGGATATAGAGCAAAGGAAGAGAGCAATTGAGTATGGGTAGCAGATGACCCATCTCCGGTGGGCCGGGTGTTTTACACGCTTGAGGGGGGGAGGAGGGGAGGTTTCTTTTCCTTTCCTCGACTATCTTAGCTTGTACATAAACTATCTTTTTCCCGCTTAATTGAAAGGCAGAGCTCCTGCCATATTTTCAAAAAAAAAGAAACTCAAGTTTTTCTCTAGTTCTTGTAGTCTTGGATGATCCAGACTGCTTAAGGTTGGCTCCTTCTTGTTGCACCTTTCCTTGATCCAGATTCAACCATGCATCAGTCTCTTGTGATTCTTGTTCCTCTTCATCAGTAGCATGTCCATCTTCTTCATGGATTCCCATGTTTTGATTTTCACTTTGTTGCTCGGTTTGTCTTCTGCTAGAGACCAAGAGTTCTAGCATTACCAAGAGTTTTTTCACTTAAAACGCACACAGCACGTAACCTTTGTCTTTTGTGTCGCTTGGGCAACGAACATGGACGCAAGCTTCTCTTTCTTTGGTAGCTCCAAACCGTCAACATTGGCGAACCATGGGTGCTTGAGTGCGGCGGCTGCCATCAACCCCTTGGAGGGATTGCATCTGAGCAGGCCACTGAACAACTCGAATCCTTTCGTGGACAGCTTCATCTCGGGGAACAGATCACAAAGGAGGTTGTACCGTTGCGTGTCCAGCTCCGACATCACCTTGGTGGCGAATGGTGTCGACGAGAAGCACGGCCACATGCTGTAGTTAGGGATGCCGAGCACATCGAAGATGGCGCAAAGATGTCCGTCGTCATGGGATCCCTAGAACAGAGGCCTGCCATTGTTAACGAGTGAAAGATCTAAACAATGTCTAGAGAGGGTGAATAGGCGTATCTAAAAATTTCTACATAAAACTCAAAATAACTTGTCAGTCACTGCAGGAACTTCCGACAGTTTAGGCCGAAACTTCCGGCGGCCGGAAGTTTCGACGCAAACAGCCGGTACTTTTGACTCCTACGTGAACTACTCAACCCAAGCTAAAATAAACTTTGTGATTCCGATAACTTACAACCCCACTTCCTAGTGGTAAGGTGAAGCGTTGGGTTGCCCCTTTGACGCCAAAAAGCCACCACTCCGTAGATCGAATTCAAACCCTAAGAAAAGCTTTGGAGAGAGAAGAAACAACAAGACCAAATATGATAGCACAAATCACAACAACAAGAAACACGCGGGACACAAGAATTTATCCCGAGGTTCGGTAACCCCACAAAGGAGCTCCTACGTCCTCGTTGTTGAGGTGACCACAAAGGTCAGAGTCTCTTCCACCTCCTTGCCTCTCTCAATGCAACCACAAAGATCACTTGAGCTTTCCACTAAAAAATCAAGGGTAATACAAACTTCCCAATGCTCTTCCACAAGATGTAAGCTCTTGGGCGACGCCTAGCCGGCTAGGAGCAAAGCTCCAAGAGTAATAAACGCAAATTCAACCGGCTTGATGAAGAAATCAAGTGCTCAAGCTTGCCAAAGTGATTCTCTCACTCAATCTACTCTCCTTCCACTCAAATCCTTAGGGGAATTGAAGTTGGGAGCAAAGGGGAGAGGAGAGGGGAGCCTTGAATGCTTAGGAGCTCTTTTGGGCAGAGTTAGGTCGTAGTGAATGAGTTCGTAACGGTTAGAAGAGATGAGAGAGCTATTTATAATCATAGACAAAAACTAACCGTTCAAATCTACGTCGGAAGTTCTGACACAGATCGCCGGAAGTTTCGGCGCCTAAGAAAAGCACTGTTCAAACCGCGGTCAACTTGGCTGACTCGGCCAGAGTCGAAACTGCCAACGACTGCCGGGACTTCCGGCAGCCGGCACTTCCGACTCCCGTCAGGGCCTCCGACGATCAGCCGAGCTGGGTGACTAAGTCCCAAGGGCCCGGGAGTTCCGGCAAGAGCCGGGACTTCCGGCAGCTGGCACTTCCGGCTAGCATCGACACTTCCGACAACCAAACTCTCAAAAACTATATCTAAGTGTTCGTGAGGTGCTTGAGTGTCTCTCTTTTGATTTTATTTTTATGCTTAAGCACTCTATCTTTCTCATACCACCTAAACTTGCATCCATCTTTATAGTACGGCGAACCTAAACCCAAAACAAGAAAAGTAAACTATGAAGCTCGCTTTGAGTTCGTCCGCCTTTTATACTTCAAGAATTTGAGGGATACCATTTTATCTTAGATCAACTCTTTAAAACTTCATGGGACTAAAGCTGTAGCATATCTCATTAAGATCTCATTAGTCCCTAATTTGGATGTCATTAATACACCAAAACTCACATAAGGGGCAAATGCACTTTCAACGAGCTACGCCATGACACAGACAAGGGACCAGGCATTAACCTTGGCGTCGTAGTCGGGCTTCTCCAACAGCATCCAGGCGGCGCCTGGTACCAAAGCATGTCGGCCGGCTCGTACGGGGGTCACTCATCCGTTGACATGGCTAGCCCAAAGTCATAGATTTTGACAATGCTCTAACCCTCATCGATGAGGATGTTCTAGGGTTTGATGTCGTGCATCTTCTTGGCGCCCGTAAGTAGCTGTCACATGGCGACACGCACAATGGCCTCGGGCAGTAGCGGGTCCCACAGGGGCACTGGAGGAGGAGGTCATGGACGTTGGTCGCCACACACTCCATGACGAGGCATATCTCCTAGTTGATCAGGTCACGGATGATGTCGTGGAAGTCGACGATGAACGGGTTGGCACCACCGTAGCATGCGACTTCGAGGAAGCGTGCCTCATGGAGCACCATAGTGTGGCCGTCATTGGCCGTGCTGTGGCACTTCATGGCAATGGCCTGGCATGTGGCATGCCTTGAAGACAGCGCCGAGGCAGCAGATGTTCTCAAACTCGTACTGCTCCATGCTCCGGATGGCGATGTGCTTCGTCTTCAGGCCGATCTTTACCATGGCGGTGGGGTCACAAACGGCGACGTCGAGCTCTATGCAAGCAGGCATCACGAGTGAAGCAGGGCGATGGCAGATTGCATGCCAAAGGTAGGGGATGAGGCGAGGATCAGGTGGACGACGTCAGTGACGATGGCAGATATATGTTTTGAATGGTGACCTTCTCCAAAAGCTATAAAAAACTGTAGCGGGCTATAGTAGAAGCTATTCATTCTGCGGTTCTATAGAAAACTTGAAAATTCATAATGAATTATGGAAAAAAATTGTGAACACAAATGCTCAAATACATGTAGAATATCTAGGAGAATATGTTTCCAAGTCCATTATGTTAGAACGGGCGGTCCTGAACAAGAGAGAGGAAGGAGAGATCTCGGAGGTGGAGAGGGGACACACTAGGGCTTTGAACAAGTGGAAATGAGCAGGAGGTGAGGTCCCTTGCCCTTATGCCCTTGGTTACTTATATTGGCAATGGCTATTTACAAGTGACCCTTTGATGGGGTTGGATTCCACATGACACTACTATAGCTAGCTACTAGTTGGGCCTCTTTTAGGAGAAGACTTGGACCATATATCTCATGGGCTCCCCCAACATTGCTCCCAACAAACATTTCAGCAGGAGGGTCTTCGTTAACACTTCAGCGACTACAACGAGTCAACGACTCACCCATGCCAACACTTCCACTAGAGGGTATCATCATCTTCGATGACTGCAATGACTAACCTTCGATACCAATAGCTAGAGGGGCTTCTCCGACATCTCCGACGTCAACATCGACAACATACCATTGTCAATATCTTCGGCAACTACAATAACTTTCCTCCACCAAAACTTCGACATGAGGACTTTCACTAACATCTTCGGCGTACACAACGACAAACCTCCGCCAACACTTTGGCATGAGATGCTTCACCAACATCTTTGACGACTATGATGACTCATCTCCACCAACACATCGACGGAAGGGGCTTCGCTATCATCTTGGGCCACTACAACAGCTCGAGAGCCTTGTGGACACCTTTGGCATCAATGTTTATGATGACTTGCATTCATCGCCTAGTTCGAGGGGCGACATCAACTCGTTCAGCACCGAGGTCTACTTCACCTTCCTTGACCACTTTGGCTTGAGGGGCTCACCGACAACTTCAGTCTGGACATCAACTTCTGCTGCTATGGTTACTATGAGTACATCAACTACAAAAAGCACAACTAAAGATTTGGTCACAAGTGCCAGCCAAGAGGAGCCAGGGGAGCATATTGGAGGACCTGACACTCCAGAAGGTGAAGTCTTTTGCTCGACACCCGTGAGAGAAGATTTGGAGGCTTCACTACAACCTTTGGCTATGGCTATTTCGAGTACATCAACTACAACTGCACCCATTCATGAAGAAAAGGTGTGTCTCCAAGGTCCCCAAGGCAAAGATCTTCACGCCGAGAAGGTCATGAAGATGAAGATCTACGCAATGAGAAGGTCCCATAGGCAAACTTCTGCACACTAAGAAGGTCCCATAGGCAAAGTCCTACACGTTGAGCGAAGCTAACAATCCATGTCATAAAAGCGGCCGAGGAAGCTGAAGGCCAAATATGAAGATACCGGGTAGATCGACATTGAGGCACTTAGAGTTAGTGGCTTCCTGAGTTAGCACTTTT